ACATACAACACTTCTTCCTTTATTTTGTTTTTTTGTTTTTTTTTTTTTTTATTAAATAACTTTCTGTGGATGAGACAGAAAATTTTATCAAAGATAGTTTGGTGTACTTACCCAAAAAATAGATAGTTGGGGTGTACCTGTTGTCAAATCAATATCTTTTTGATAATTTTAGAGAGGAGGAGGAATATTATTTGTCAAATCAAATAAGGTGATTAAAACTGTGTTTCAATTGGTGACAAAATGAAAATTTTGACTAAAGTGGATTGGTCACATCTAACTAAGACCATTAGCTACACTAGGGAGAAGGTTAGATGAGCTCTTACTGCAAAAATAAAATAAATAAAATAAAAAATAAATAAAATTAGGAAAAGGAGAATAACATTAATAATATAACATTGCATTGTTCAACTGAAGTTTTGGCCTCAATGCAATCGAATTCATGTAATCTACCTTAAACAATTTGAAAAAAATTCTAGAACTAAGTAAGAAATATCAATCAAATTAACTTGTTAACTGACTTTTTGACCTAAATAGAATAGACGGTGAAAACCGACCTTAAAATTTTAAGAAATTTTTTTGAATTAAGTAAGAAATATTAATCAAATTCAAATCAACTTGGTTGAAAATATTTTAATTCTTATTATTTGCAGTCAGAATGTTAATTTTATTTTGCTAATTCACAAACGCGGATCAATTTTAATTTTCACTACTCTCCAAAAGTGATATTTAAATAAATAAAAATAATAAAAGTTTGGTAGCAACAAGTGAAGAATACAGAGGTACAAAATGAGGGTAAGCAAAATTAATTAATTTTTGGGGGAGCAAATTTAATAACTAGTGGTCCAATTCAAGATGCAGATCATGTATGAATGAAAGGGACATGTGGTTTTGAACTTTTATTGGATGAGTCATGAACCAAATTGGATTATTCCAGAATGTGGCTCAATCCCTATCCGGGAAGGTCACTTAATTAAAGTGTAGCAGATTGAAAAATAAAATAAGAGCCGCCCCATTTGAATTCAAATATGTAAAATCCACTTCATGAGACAAGTTCATCCACAAATTATGGAAATTTTATAACCATATGTGTCAAAATAAAATACATGCAATGTCTGGCGGCCTTGAAGGTTGGTTAGGTTTGGACAGCAGAAAATGATTGTTGATATATATATATATATTATATAATCAAATTTTATGCATTTTATTAGTGGGTGGCAGATGGCTCTCACCATTAGCCACACTTAATTGACCAACTTATTTGGTTTATATATATATATATATATATATATATATATAGGTGCAGAGTCTGTTGTCTTGTTTTCAATGCTATAGGGGGGCATAACCATTAACCACAATGCTGACCTAAATTTTAGGAGGACGAGGACCAAACTCAAGATCACCTGAATTAGCTGAAAAGGGGTTTCCCATTTTTAATGATTTTCTAGAGGCACAAATAAATAATCAAAATGCAATGTGAAAAAAAATATAATGGAATTTTTTAAAAAATAAAATAAAAAACTTAAACCGGCTAAACAATGCAAAACCAAAATAGTCTATCAATAATAATGAGATGAAATCGGGTGAGACTCAAATCAATATCAGATGATGATGGATTCTCTTTTGTTTGTTGGGTGGGTCCTAAATAATAGATGCCCAATTAGATTACTCAATTATGATGTGTCCTCCTTTCGACACACGTTGTCAAGGACAGGTCTAATAATAAACGGGATGTTGTCACCATACATATAATGATCCTCTAGATGATTGATTAAAAACAAGATGCATTTCATAACCAGTTTAATACACTTTTTATCAGGCTCTTTTTCACTTTTAAATAATAATTATCCGTGAAATTTATTTATTTATTTTTGGTTGTTTTATGGTTGCTACCACATTTTTATCTTTTAAGCACCATAAAAAAAAGCTTGCTATCTGTTTGGCTAATGTTTTTATTTTGTGTGTTTTTATTTTTGATAATGTACTGTAACGAAACAAAATTATAAATCATGTTTGATAATATTTATTGTCATTTGAATAGTACTGAAAATATAAAAATAATTCTTATATATTTGGTTTTATAAAAAAAAATTCTTATATATATATATATATATATATATATAGCTGTTAAGTCATGGTATCTCAATCCTCAACCAAAATGCTCTTTTCTTGTACTAAGCAAAATGCTCTTTTCTTGTAGTAAGCTACCAACCGTATGTATAATATTCATCAAAATATTATGTAAATAATATTTTTGATTCATTTTTAATAATATTTATATTTCAGATGATGTACTTAATTATTGCTGATAATGTGAATCAATAACAAATATATATATATAATAATTCAATTTTTTCCTTTTCCTATTAAAATGCTTTTTAAAAAGAAAAAGCAAAGTTGAATCACTCAAATATCGAAGAAATACAATCATGCAATCCTACCTAAATATTCGATGTACAATTAATAATACATTGCATTTACTTTAAAAATTAAAGAAGAATATTAAATAATTTAGATTATTCTCGTGATAGTAGGACCCACGTGTTATGTTAAAATATCTTGGTGACCGTTTAACAAGGGTCTCCCACGCGCTTGAAAGTAGCGTGAAAATCCAACTCTCACCGACTACCGTCTCATGTCACTCTTATCTTATGGTACAGTAAGAAACACCTGAGACACAAATAATAGCTTCTACTCAACTATACCGTGTGAATTATTGATATATCGTTACTTGCAAGTGTAATCAAATTGCTTTATCTAACCAGTTGAGTTTTGATTTTCTCTCGTGATTTTTATTTTTATTTTTAAAAATGATGATAAAATTTCTTGGTTTGCTTTGATAGAATCAAAGAGGAAAAAAAAACGAGGAAATAAAAAATTTTAAAACTTTTTAAGAAGAATTTTGAAAAATTAAAATTCTCATAATCCTTTATTTTCCTCAAAACGTTTCCACATAAAATATAAGAAAATTCGCGTGAAAGTAATATCTTTTTATTTTGTGTTCCCATTTTGCCTAACAACCTCATTGCATTATTTTACACAATAACTTTATCGTCTTTTTTTAACTAGGTTTCAAAGAATTGCAATCCAACAATAGTTTTATCATTGATAGAGTTTCGGTTAACTTAACTTTCATTTTTAGTTGTTTTCAATTATATACGAATGAAATAAATAGTATTTTACAAGATTAAATTAATTAAAAAAATTATAATTTCTTACAATTTTTTTGAATAAATTTTCATTTTAACTAAATACATGTTAGAAAATCAAATTTCTTTTCATTCACTTCATTATTAATTTTATTTTTTATTTTTCATTATTATTATTTTTTTTACTAGATAGAACGGAACCTTAGTAACTCTATTTCGACTTTTTGACATTTTAAAACTTTCAAAAATTAATTTCCACTTCCTTTGCAATTTCCACAACTTCAAAATGGTGGACGCACACTCGTCAAACAGTAAATAGCGGACATTCACTAGTTATTTTTTTAGCACTGAATTGACTATTTAAACTTAATAGTAATTATTATTTTTTGGGTTAAATTCCAATTATAATTTCACGGACTTCATCATACTATCATATCCCCGAACACAATCTAAGCTAATTTTAAAAGCCTTTTTTTTTTTTAAAGTAAAATTTAATCTTCAACTAATTGAATTGAAAATATATCCAAGTGGATATTATGTTTGGAGTATTGAAATAACTATTTAAACTAAAAATTGATTTTTTGGGAGTGTTAAATTTCAATTATAATTTCAAGCAGACCATAGTGTCCCCGACCACAACATAAGCTTACTTTAAAGGGTTAAATACAAAAAAAACCCTAATATATAGTATTTGTGCAGAAATAATTCATACTTTTTGAAAATGTGCATTTTAGTTCATAAAATGAAAAAAAAAGTGCAAATAAACCCCTCTGACCACTTTTTGGTTAAAAAAGATATAAAATAAATTCAAAAATTCTATTTTGCTCTAAGTGCAAAAAACCCTTCCTATACTATTGATATAATGCAAAACAGTTCTTATTTAGTATAAAACCCTTCTATACTATCAAATTGGTGCAATTATCCCATGTTCACATAAAAAAACATTAATACACTCTCTAATATAAATGAAATAATATTAAAAAAATTAGGCAATGTAAAATTACCATTTTAAATAATTTATTCTTTTCTTTTTTCCTCCTCCTTTTTTTTATTTTTATTTTTATTTTTATTTTATATTTGGTTGATTGATTTGTAGATTGTGGTGGTGGAGGGTTCAGAGGCGGCCGATGTAATGGAAGGAAAGGAGGAAGGGGCTTCGGAGGAGAAAGAAGCCCCGGAGGACCCAAAGGTGGCGGCGGCTTTAAAAGTCATAGTAGCAGTAGAGGTGATGGGGAAAAGGAATGGGTAGTGGTGGCGCACAATAGAGGTGATAGAGGGAGAGGAGGAAGGGGTTGCTTCGATTTAAAATTGAAGTAAATTTGATTCAAAGTATTAACGAAAATTTTCACTCTCAAATTCAAATCATCAATTCAATACCTCAAAACATGGATAATAAAATTTCTATTCAACAATTGAAAAAGTTAGTCATGTCTATTTATTTATTTACTTTTTTTGTTTTTAGTTAGTAATGTTTTTTCTTATTTAGTGATACAATTCTCATTTAACTAAATTATTTTAGATAAATTTCACATATTTTCTTGATGTTTCTCAATATTTCACATAAATTTATTTTTACATTTTATAATCTCATTTAGTAAAGACGTTCAACTTAATAATAATACAATGTTATTTTACTGTTTTGCTGTCCACAAATTCTATTTTGTCTCCATCAGTATCAAATCTTTTATATAAACTAGTAGAATCTTAGAGGATATAAATGAGATTATATAAATGTAGAATTTACCCAATTATTTTTCAATAATTGTCTGCTAAAGAAAAAAACAGAAAACAAAGGGGGAACTAACTTCTATTTTCCAACTGACTTCACTTTATTGAAAAGCAATCTCTCTCTCTCTCTCTCTCTCTCTCTCTCTCTTCGGTTTCTCTCTCTACACTCAACCCTCTTTCTCTCTCTCTCTCTCTCAAAATAAAGGCCAGAACTAAAATATCACAAAGTTCTTGTAGGCTCCCTTTGATGTTGAGCCGAGTGGGAGAGAATTTGACAGAGAGAAACTTATTTGCTCTCTTATCTTTCCTCCCTATCTCCCTCCCTCTTTAGGTGAATTTGTTTATGTATATGATTCTTCACAAACCCTGAGAAAAATTTGGTGGGATTTTAATGTTGTGAGAAGTAGTAATACCATGTTTGGGATTGGGTGTGAGTGTTTCTACTGGAACAGAGTCTCTGAATTCTACCCACTCCACCCACAACCCTTTTCTCTGCCTTCACCGCTTCCACCATGGCCTCAAGGTATGTCATGTCTTTCAACATCAATTTTTATTTCTTTTTTCAATTTTTTGTTTTGTTATTATTATTTTTGTAAAACAATTTTGAGTTTTGATCTGGGGATTCTGGGTGGCAATAATTGAAGACTGTTATGGGTTAATTTTTTTTTCTCTTATTTTGGCTCACAAATGTTTTTTTTATTTTTTTATTTTTTTATATTTTAATTTCCCTATATTTTTTTCAATTTTTTGTTTTGATATTATTATTTTTGTAAAATAATTTGTGGGTTTTGATCCTGGGTATTCTGGGTGTTATGGATTTAATTTTTTTTTCTCTCATTTTGGCTCACAAAGGATTTTTTTTTTTTTTTTGTAAAATAATTTGTGGGTTTTGATCCTGGGTATGTCTTTTTATTATCATTATAAATCATGAAAAATTAGCTCCACTCTGTTGCTAGTAGTCCTAATTAAGCTGTTTGTTACTTGATTTTGTGGCTCCCTAGAACTGAAGCAAACATCACCTCCAAACCCTTTTCTTTCTCATGTTCGTGGCACATACTAATTTGGTTCTTGCCTTGAAAATTCTGGATTATTTTCGTATATGATAAGCAACTAGATGTAGATCATGTAGGAATTATATATATATTTTTTAATTTTCCGTGGTCTTATGCAAAATGTTTCCTTTCTTTCTTGTTACTAGAGAGCTCAATATTTAATATGAGCAGATTATCTGGTCACTGATAAAAAATAAAAATAAAAAAAATAAAAACCATGATTTATTTTTCTGGTTTTACCCATTTGATAAACGTGGTCAAAGTTTATAAAGTGGTACAAATTTTTGTTAAACTATTCAAACCTTTGTTCAAGACATTCATGACTTGGTCAAAGTTTGAGGATGTTGGGAATGTGGAATAGCTTGGAAGGTCAGATCTGCCCGAAAGTTTGAAAGTGAAAGTTTTCAAACGTGAAATCTAACCTTAGGATGCATTTATATATATATATATATAAATGCATCCTAAGGTTAGATTTCATGTTTGAGAATATATATATATTGGTCCAAAAACCTATTAATGCTTGATTCCTCCACTAAAAAGATGAATTTTTTTTTTTTCATCCGTCTCTGTTCTAATTTTTGGAACACTTCTTAAGATTTTAAGCATGGAGAAATCAGACTTTTCTACATGTGGAACTGAACCCATGTAGTTGAGAACAACTTACAAGGCCTTGTAGTGTTGAGTTAGGAACAAGGTTTTAGAACACATTTGCCAGTATAGCTGATACTGATGATTTCAGTTCCTTTACTGCCATAAGAAAAAAAAGGAAAGAAAATGGAAAAGAAATATTGTTTTTAGGTTCCTCTCTTTGGCCTTTATTTAATTCCCCTTTTGTTAGTGTCCTTTGATGGAAAATTTACTTGGTTATTGAACACATTGATGCACCCCGACAACGGTTTTTTATTATTTCAATGCAGAATTGTGTTGAGAGTTTTTGGAATTTTAGTTTAGACAAAAAAATTATATTGTTTCTGGAACTAAAAGTTCTGTGCATGAAAGTATACTATTTTCAGTGAATTAGACTCCCCTGCCTTAAATTCCCTTTTTACTGTAATTTTCTTTCTTTTGTGTGGTTTAGTAACATCTGCTCATTTTGTCAATTGATGTAATGTCACCTTCTCAGGTCAAGGTTTTGGTATGGGGAGAATATGCTTAGGAGAAATAGAAGTTCTTAAAATCACCGAGTTCGAGTGTATATGGAGCTGCACTCAATTGAGTGGAAAAACAGCAGGTGTCTCATTTTACAGACCTGTTGGAATCCCAGAAGGATTTTTCAGTCTTGGTCACTACTGCCAGCCCAATGACCAGCCACTGAGAGGCTATGTTCTTGTAGCCAGAGATGTCGCTGCTACCAGGCCAGAAGATGGCCATATTCATGACCGATTAGTGGAATCTCCAGCTCTCAGAAAGCCTCTTAGCTACATATTGATTTGGAGTACAGATTCCCATCATGACGGATGTGTTTACATTTGGCTGCCAAACCCTCCCTTGGGGTATAAAGCTATGGGCTTTGTGGTCACTGACAACCCAAATGAACCAGACTTGGAAGAAGGTAGATGTGTCCGAGCTGATCTCACGGAAGATTGTGAAACTTGTGATATGATACTCGACATGGATTCAAGTTCCTTGAATTACGCACTTCGAGTTTGGAACACAAGACCCTGCGAAAGGGGGATTTTGTGTCAAGGAGTTTCTGTTGGAACATTCTTTTGCAGCACCCACTTGAGTTCTGATGATGAGCTAAATATTGCGTGCTTAAAAAATCTTGATTCCACTCTACATGCAATGCCGAATCTGGACCAGATCCATGCGCTTATCAAACACTATGGACCCACTGTTTTCTTCCATCCGGATGAGGTTTATATGCCCTCATCAGTGCCATGGTTTTTCAAAAATGGAGCACTTTTGTACCGTAATGGCAAGGATAAGGGTGAACCTATTGATTCTAGGGGCTCAAACTTGCCTTGTGGGGGAATGAACGATAGGGAGTTTTGGATAGATTTGCCAGACGATGATGACGAGAGAAATAATATCAAAAGTGGTAACATTGAGAGTGCTGAGCTCTACATTCATGTAAAACCAGCTTTAGGAGGGACTTTCACTGATATTGTCATGTGGGTTTTTTGTCCGTTCAATGGGCCGGCCACCATAAAAGCTGGGTTAGTGAATATCTCAATGAACAAAATAGGCGAACATGTGAGTGACTGGGAACATTTCACCCTCCGTTTAAGCAACTTTACTGGGGAGCTTTGGAGCATCTACTTCTCACAACACAGTGGCGGTGGGTGGGTGGACACTTACAATTTGGAGTTCATTGAGGGGAACAGGCCAATTGTTTATTCATCGAAAGATGGCCATGCAAGTTTCCCACATCCAGGGAGCTACATTGAAGGCTCATCAAAATTCTCAATAGGAGTGAGGAATGATGCTGCTAAAAGCAATTATTTTGTGGATTCGAGCACCAAGTACGAGATTATTGCTGCAGAGTATCTTGGAGACGGAGTAGTTACAGAACCGCATTGGTTGCAGTATATGAGGGACTGGGGTCCAACGATTGTGTACGATTCAAGATCTGAAATCGATAAGATAATCCGTCATCTTCCATTTTTTGTTCGGTTTTCAGTGGAGACTCTTTTCGAATTGTTTCCAACTGAGATTTATGGTGAGGAAGGGCCAACAGGACCAAAGGAGAAGGATAATTGGTTGTGGGATGAAAGATGCTAACTTTGCTACATTCAAATTTCATCCAGTTATGCTCTTCCCTGCTTTCTGGTCCACCCATGACTGCACAAGGGTCCTGACAGCCTAATGAAAGAAGGTGAATCAGATTAAAATACTAAAATATCATTCTTTGGTTGAGATATTTCTCTTTATGGATTCAAATTCTGATTGTAAAAAGGTTAGGAATGATAGATTGTGGAGGAGCATTTCTTCTTTGCAAGTTTCGGAGAAGAATAAGCTGTTATGTTTCACACTTCCACTACTGTAAAATTTTAGCTAATGTCTTGGGGAATTCTCACGGAGATTGTATAAAAAGCAGAGAGACTCTTCGGTTGGGTTGAGATGCAGTGTCGCTGCTGTGGAGGAAGAAGCACCGGCCCTCGGTTAGAATGGTGGTGTTTTTAGCTGTAAAAAGCTGGCTTTGAAGTTCACATTGAATTATTGATGCTGTCAACAAGAACAAGATTTCTGTGCAGTGATAGAATGCTTGCACATAGTGTTGAGAATCTTGAACATTTGCTGGAGACATACAGGGCTCATGCTGGTGGATAAAAATTTGTTGTCCTTTGTATGCAGTTTCCTACTAATTCCAAAGTATGAAGCTTGTTGTATATAGAAAGAATAATGGCGTCTAATGACCACAAATCTCTCTCTCTCTCTCTCACACACACACACACACAAAAGTGCTCTAATTTGTAAAAGAACACTGAATCCCAAGTTGGGTGATTATGACATTTCACATCGTTTTTAGTGTCAAGGTGGCACAAAATGGACAATATCGGTCGTCATATCTAGTGTGATTCTCATTAATTGACGGAATGGGATTAGATAAGGAATGTATATATATATGTATAGGGTTTTTTTTTTTTTTTTTTTTTTTTTTTTGGAACTCGAAACTCCCTTGGACAGGGCCCTTTGAACTCATCACAAGTTACACACCGTTACAAATTGAGGGTGCTGCAATCAGTCCCACAACAACAATGCTAATTAAATAAGAGGTTATAATGTAAGTGTTGGGGTTTGAAACCCGGATATATTAGATCCCGCCCCTTACCTTACCACCATCACCAAGCCATGGGGGATATATATATATATAGTATTGCTAATTAACAAATTATGCATTCTTGGCTTTACACTTGGGTTTTATGGAGCCCAGGAATGAAATGTAAAAGGCCCAGGATTGAGTATTACAGTGGATCTGTTTTAATTGATCAGGACGGACCCTTTACCAAATTGTGAGAGAAGGTTCATAATTTGCACTTTGGGGGCACTTTAATAAATGGTTTTTTAGCTCGGACTAAGGTAGTTTCATAAAATTAATTTAAGACATAAATTTTAAGTGCTGAATTTGTAAAAATATGAAATTTAAGACATAAAACAAAATTATGTAGTTTACTGTTTTACCCTCTAAGATCTTGTAATTATACTGTTTTGTATAGTTATCAGTGTTTTACTTTTACACATTGTGAGTCAATTTATACAAAGTTTTGAACTCCACTTATGTTCAGATTGGAAAAACTAAATTGAAATTTGGAGTCTATTATAGGCTTATAGCTATACTCAGATTGGACCAAAAAAATCACATCATTACAATTAAAAAAAATTTGAAAATATTAAAAGGGCTTTTAGTTAAAACATTTTCTTGAATAGTAACGAAAAAGCAAAGTGCTTTTCACGATGAAATAAAAGGGCAAACCTTGTCTAAGACTCTCACGGGATTTGGAGAGAGTTAGATATATGCATATAGGCTGTTTTATACAACTTAATATAATTATAAATTAGTTAAAAACGAGTTTGAATTTGGGTTTTAAAAATTGTGTTGGCTTCGGTTTTTCAGCAAAACCTGAATACATAAAAACATATCTAAGCCCGTGAAATTGGGCCACCCAAGTTGTACCTTTTTCTTGGAGGTATCTCTGTAATAACATCCATAGATTCCTTACTAGTCCATATATCCTATGAATATGTCGGATTTCATTTTCAATTGATATTTCATTTTGCTTTTTATTCAACTTGATGGAATAAACCCTAGGGATAGGGTTGAGAACTCAAATCATGCATCATCATATGTTGTTATACACATGACAAAGCACCCAAAAAAAAAAAAAAAAATATAGTTTAAAATTATAATAAATTCACACTTTGTTCGTTTTATTTTTCTCTTCTGTGACAAAAAATTAGGGAGAGGCAAGACCTACTCCGATAAAAGCCGTCTTTGCCTCGTCGTTTGGATTGCAGATGCACATGTGATGGAGAGTGATACTCCCAATGCTCATAGAGAGACGAGTGCATACAGAGTGACATGGTTCGTCATATAGTTCGATACGCGACCCTTTTTCAAGTTCAATACGCGACTCATATCGATCCGTTATACTAATTTTGTCTGAGTCCATTATACTGCGACCACCGAACCATGCGAAAGAGCTACACCCTCTCTCTCCCTTTGGAGTTACGGTTTTTGGTTTCTAAAGTGTTTTAAGTTAAAAGAAAACATTAGGACTTGTTTGGTTTAGTTTTCTAAAAATTGTTTTCAGATAACTATAAAGACAGTTATTTGATAAAGACAGTTATTTGAAAATAAATTTTTAAAAAAATTAAGTTTTGCAACTAGACAAGTTTTTGATAATTTATAAATAAGATAATTTTTTTTTTTGTATTATCAATAATATTATGATTTACAAAAGAAATTCACTTTTTATTTTATTTTTTTAATTCTTAAAAATCAATGAATTATGATTTCTAATAGTGGTACTAATTTTACCAAACGCAACCCAAACCATTTTTTTTTTTTCTTTCTAGAAGTAGACAATTCTAACAGATATCTCTCTTCTTTAGTTCCAAAAAAAAGCCCTGAAGTCAAGCCCAAGTCCAAAACGAAACCGCCCATTTATGAATACTTGCCCTTTCCACGTCCTCCTACTCACCTTCACTACTCACTCCATGTTCCTCTCTCTCAGATCATCTACTTTCTCTCTCTATATATGCGCACACATACCATACATACATACATATATATACATACACACACTGTATATATTAGATATTAATTTACAATCCCAAATCTCCCTCTCTCGCTCTAAAACCTTCCCAATTTGATGCATCTATTCTTGAATTCGAATCTAATCAGGACCTTCCTTTCTTCTTCTTCTTCTTCTTCTTTGTTTCGATCTCATCGCTTCGATTCTTTGTGGTCTGGTAAATCTCTGTACAATCCCTGTTGTATCAATTTTGATCACAAACGATTGACGACAAGAACTGCTACAATGGCGACGACTGCGAAGCTCTCGTCCATGGGAGGAGTAGCGGAGAACGAAGCAGGAATCGCTAGGCGTTTCTGGATCAAGTTCCGTAAAGAGTCGATTCTTGCTCTGTACACTCCCTTCGTGGTCTGTTTGGCTTCCGGGAATCTCAACCTCGACACTTTCCGCCACTACATCGCTCAAGATGTTCATTTCCTCAAATCGTTTGCCCAAGCGTGAGTCTCTTTTTATATATATATTTTCTGGCTCTGTTTGGTTGCTAAGAAAATGTATGAAATGGAAATAAAAGAATATTCTGAATCTTGGATTGTTTGGTACTCGGTGTATATAATTTTTAGGTACGAATTGGCGGAGGAGTGTGCGGATGACGATGATGCAAAAGTTGCGATCAGCGAGTTGAGGAAGAGTGTCCTAGAAGAGTTGAAAATGCACGATTCATTTGTCCAGGTAAGATGATAGACACACTATTTCTTTCCTTTGTGTGTGTCTTTAATTATTGCCTTTTAGGTTTTATAGCAGTTTCATACAGTTGCCGAACGGAACAATATAAACATATATGTGTTTTTGAGAGGTTGGGGTTGGGTTTCGGAGAATAATTTTATTGGAAAACTGACTTAACCTTTCACTGGACACGCCAGGTTTATACCAATGGAGCAAGACCTCTTTGGTTAATTTTGGGTCTTATATTGTTAAAATCTTGGTTTTCACAACTTGTTCTGTGAAATTATTGCTATTTAAGATTGAGATCCAGTTAGAATACTGGTTGTAGAACAATTGTATACCAATGCAGTGTGACCTCGTCTGTGAACTTTATGTGTGATATTGTAGGACTCACCACCATAATCAACAATGTTGTCCACTTTGAATTCCCCTCATAGCTTTAAAATGCATTTGTAACATATAATGTGCAATTTCCCCTTATATTCTTGTCGAATTCTGCCTACTAAAGAAAGGTCGGATCTCATCCACCTGTGTAATAATAATGTTGTCAACAATCTTGGTTTATGCCACTTATCCTATGAAGTTATTGCTTTGGAAGTTGGAAATCCTGTTAATATACTGGTTGTCGGCAGATATTTGCTACAATGGACCAGAGTTAATGAGCTTTTACCTTGTCGGAAGACTTTTTTGTGCAAGTCATTGTGGGAACATTCGATAGGGTGGTTGAGTGAATAAAAAAACAAAATAGTTGTATAATGGCTGTCTAGAGCTGGGTGGACACATGGTTGTATTGTGAGGGAGTTTTGATGGAGGTGGAGACCAATCACCCTTGGATGTTGTGGTTCTTTGTCCTTTGGATTTTTAGTTTACGAGGTTGTCTAAAGGTATCAACTATCTTAGTGGGTTCCCCTAATTTGTGTTATGGGAAAATGGGTATCTTATATTAAGCTCATTTTAGTATATGATGAACATGTAAAAGCATTTGCGTTCGTGTATGTGGTACATGGTAATTGAATGTTTTGTGAACTAGGTCAAAAGCTTGACCAGAAGTTTTGAGGATTATTGTCAACCAAACATGAGGTAATAGTAGACGGCTAGTGGATCAAGGTGATGTAGCATCTAGCATCTTTATTTCGGTGGAAGGGTCTCTGGCTATCTAATTACCATGACACCACCTCAGAATTGCGCTCAATCAAATATGTGTAGAATCGAAACTGGAAGCTTCTTGAAGTCCTGGAAGAGCAAGTACTGCGGCTTTAGTGGCATATACCTTCCTCATTGATTTCAAAAGTCAAAACGTTACATTACCATGATGATCACTAAAAACACATCTGCATATCAAGGGTAGTCAGGCTACCATGAGTATTACCATCAAAGGTTAGTTCTACACTCTCTTCTGGGTGCGGCTTCCAGTAATAGCAGATTGTCTTGGTGGCCTTATGAGTGGTATGTCCATTGAGGGGAAATTGCACGAGGAACACCCCTCTCCCTTCCCTTTCCCCTCTCCCCTCTTAATTGAGTGAATTTTATTCAGTAAAAACAGAAAGAATAAATTATACAAGGGCATACCCTCATGAGGTTACAAAAATAAAATGCTCACTTCCAAAGAATGTAAAAGGAAAATTCATGTGTTTGACCCAGGATAATCTTAAGAGGAGGAGACATGTTGTGGTCAATTGTTGTTGCATGTGTTTGAGAAATGAGGAAACAGTTGATCATCTTCTTTTGCATTGCCCAGTTGCTTGGGACTGTTGGACTTTGATGTTGACTTGTTTGGGGTTCAGTGGGCTATGCCCAGGTCTTCCAGAGGTTTGGTTGAGGCTCGGAGAGGTTGTATAGTGGGGGCCCAAGCTCGCGACTTCTAGAGAGTCACGCCTGTATGTGTTTGGTGGTGCTTATTGCTTGAAAGAAATAGGCAATCTTCTGAAGGAAAGGAGACCCCAATTGGCGCACTGAAATTCTCCATTATTAGTACTCTTTTTTGTTGGGTTCTTGGGAGAAATTGTAAATAAATGGATGAGATTGTTGATTTTGTCGACTCTTTGAGAGTTTAAAGGCCCTATTAGGTCTTGCTGTTTTGTGGGATGCGTTCCCCTTTTGAACCCTTTTCAATACATATTTACTTATAAAAAAAAATGTGGCTGACTCCTTTCATATGGGATGCAAGGATGATGATAAAGTAAATGGAAGTACTGGACAGCAAGAGGATATATACACTGAAAATAACTAAACAACTTGTTTAGGCTATTTCACTATGGTCACTTGTTGTGAGAGATTAGAGATTTGTCAGATCTGGCAAGAATGGATTTAATGTGGATCTTCAGATTAGCTATGAGAAGGCAGATGGTCTAGCCAGCACATTGGGGAGGGAGAATTATCTGTGCTACCTATCAGTGGGCTCTTTTATCCTGTGAGTTCTTATGAAGCTTGGGAGGACTCGGCGTGCCTCTTCATTTGGGATTTTGTTGTGTTCTAGTTTTCTTCTTTTCCCTTTCTTTGGTGAGAAGTTTTTAGTTTCCTGTAACAGAGAAATGGTAGTAATAGGACTCAAGGAAACAGTAATAATACTGTATTCTCCATATTGTTTTAATAAATGAAGGTCGAAACTGTTATAAGCATCCAAACATGTGAGAAATTGCTGGACATGAATATTGTGTCGAATAGGAGTTTGACACACTTCTCAAATTGGGAGTAGTGTCCTAGATATCATGGACGATCCTTGATTATTTTCAATTAACTGTATTGTTTTCTAATTTATGGGGCATAAATATCTTTTTAACATAATGTGATTGGAACTGTATGTGTATTTAGAGCCATAGATATGTTGTAATAGTGGTCGTCAAATTGTGTGTTGAGTTGACCATCAGTTTTTGTATTTTGCATATTGGGTATCGCTAGGTATGGTATCATTTAGTAATGGGATCCACATTTGATGTGCACATATCATTTGCAGAAATTAGGTGATATTTCAGTTTTGTTACTCTTGTAATCTAGACAGAATCTGGTACTGGCATTTGAACAAAATCTGACTATGTTTTCATAAGAGAGTTCCATTTTTTCCTTTCAGGACAATTGCATCTGTAGAAGTTCAAAAAAACATGTATCCTTAAACTATATAATAATTAAGTCCAAAAATTTCAACTCATAAAATCCAACATTAAATTGTTTTTCCTTCAATGGAAATTTTGTGTAGTTTAAATATGGTGAAAAGTTAATATATAATAATTAGGCTCTCTTTAATGTAAAGCAGTTTTAGTGCCCGAGTATCAATTATGCATTTGTTTTCTTTTATATTTTTGAAGGAAGAGAGAACTCCCGTGGTATAAAGTTCAAGATCAAATTTCTTAAAATTGTCAAAATTGTGCGTGTACCCATCAAATAAAACATATCCAAAACAGTCAACTTTGGCATAAATGTATTAGATGCAACATATTGTGGATCTTAATTCTTAAGATATAGTCAAGAGTTATTCCACATCTAACTCTCCAATATGTTGTAAGAGCTTTTACATCTTGCATTCTATATATGTGGTTTAAACACTTGTGGGTTTATTTTGTAGCTTTTATTTTGTTTTCTTAATGAAACTATGCACTTCTAGGACTGAGGGAGCAACAAACTCAACTTGGGTCAGCTCAAATAACTTATAATTTTAACCACTTTGGGTTGCCTGTCTGCCTCCTTCTCCTCCTCCTCTTTTATTATTCTTATTATATAATATTATTTTTAGCATTATCAAACCATATCCTTCGTCTGGTTGTAGGCCATCATGTCTTTTTCTTTCACCAATTTTTTTGTTTCTTTAGGCTTTTCTTCAACTTGAATATAGTGCTTATCTTTATTTCCCACTTGCTAGTTCCAGGTGAAAAGAAAAGAGTTTTGTGTAAGGTAGACGTCGATTAGTAAGCTGCTGGTCTCATGGACATAAATAAGGAACAAAAGTATTGGTAATTAGTATCTTTATAAATAGAATTATTCTTTCACTCATTTAGTTAAATATGAACATCTTTTGCCTCTTTAAGGTGTAATTTACTGTTTCAGATAGGTTAGCTCTGGTATCACAATTTGATGCAGGATGACTGCTGCCGATCCTTGCACATTTTTCTAAGCATATGATGAAACCCAACTGTTTATAGTCTGGTAATTTCTCTCTAAACAACCTATTGCAATTGAAACAGGTGGTCGAAAAAAAAAAAAAGGTAAATAAAATGCCTTGGCTAATATGAATGATATTATGGACAGAAATTTCATAACTCATAATATTTAAACGTCAAGAAGAGCATATGAGTTCTTGAAAGAAGATAAAAGCAACTAAACTCTAGCCTAGTTCTCTATTTGTATTATTGCTTTGCTTTTTCCTACTAAATTCATCAGAGAATTTTGGACAAACTATGTAGTGAAGTGCGTGTATATCTAAGAAGCACGGATACAGATTTGGGACATGGACACGATGTGACACGGACACGGCAATACGACAAATTGTAAAAAATTAATATATGGACATGGTAGGGATATGACCGACTAATATACATATGATCCTATATTTATAGAGTAATAATATTTTTCATCAACCTAACAATGAATAATTCACAAATCATATTATGTAACGAGCTATAAAAATAATTAGTTTATTGTTTAAGAAACTACACTATTAAATCTACTCCATAAACCAAAATTTTTAACTATTTATGTTATGACCGCCATATAATTAAAATTGCTCAAAGAAATGTATTACATTTTAACCCATCTTTCTTTTTAAAAGTAACCCTAATAATGTGACACGTGTGTCGTAAATGTTCCCATGGAGTGTCTATGCCGTGTCTGCAAATAAAAAAATTCAAGATACGTCTTTTGGAGTGCCTGATGCTGACTCTTTTCCCTTTTAGGCATGTCCGTGCTTCGTAGTAGGGAATTGAATAGGCTATCTAAACCAAATTATATAGAAGAGATTGAATATGTGACATAGGAATTTTGGTTTAAAACTCAAAATTGGACATATTTGTTAATCCAAACACATTTTATGTCAAATGGATTCATATTTCCTCATACTTTGTGCTCTTGATCAATATAAATTGTCATTCCTATTTCTATTTGCTTGTATCTTAGCAGATTCTTCTGTTTTAAGGCAATTACCCGCTTAGTCTCTGACATAAGTTATGCAGGAATGGGGCTCTGACCTGGCCAAAGAGAACACTCGTAATTCTGCAACAGTTAAGTACACGGACTTTTTGTTGGCAACAGCCTCGGGAAAGGTTGAAGGAGTAAAAGCTCCTGGTAAACTTGCAACTCCTTTTGAGAAAACAAAAGTTGCAGCTTATACTCTTGGTGCTATGACTCCTTGCATGAGGCTTTATGCCTTTCTTGGCAAGGAGCTCCAAGCAATTCTAGATCCTGATGGAAGTAGTCACCTCTACAAGAAGTGGATTGATAGTTATTCATCTGAAAGTTTCCAGGTCAGTTGTATGGGCACTGAGCATTACAATTTCTTTTTAGTGGTCAAACTGACACACTTTACTGGTAACAGTTTCGGAGGAAAACATTACTCCAATTATCTTATTGTTTGAATTTAGGCATCAGCTCTACAAACCGAGGACTTGCTGGATAAATTAAGTGTCTCTTTGACAGGCGAGGAGCTTGACATCATTGAAAAACTGTACCATCAAGCAATGAAACTTGAAATAGAGTTCTTCTGTGCGCAGCCACTAGTTCAGCAAACTGTTATTCCTCTGTCAAGAGTGCATAATCCTGAAGAATGTCGTCTTGCGATATTCTCTGATTTTGATTTGACGTGCACTGTTGTTGATTCATCTGCCATTTTGGCGGAGATCGCGATAATAACAGCACCAAAATCTGATCAGAATCAGCCCGAAACTCAACTTGTTAAAATGTCATCAGCTGATCTGAGGAACACATGGGGAGTTCTTTCCAGACAATACACAGAAGAGTATGAACAATGCATTGAGAGCATTATGGTCAATGAGAAAGGTATAATACTTGAGTGCATATCTTGTATGATAGCTTAACTTTAATTCTACTTAAAGTGTAAAGATGTTCTAACAAGCAAATATTTAAGGTTTCCGAGATGAATTAAATGCTTAAAAATTTATAAATTGATTTTTTTTTTTTTGGCAGCTGAGAAATTCAACTATGAAAGTCTCCATAGAGCACTTGAGCAACTTTCAGATTTTGAGAAAAGAGCAAACTTAAGAGTGATTGAATCGGGGGTGCTCAAGGGTCTGAATCTTGAAGACATAAAACGGGCTGGAGAACGTCTAATTCTTCAAGACGGTTGTACTAGTTTCTTCCAGAGCATCATAAAGAATGAAAAGCTGAATGCAAACATCCATGTGCTTTCTTATTGTTGGTGTGGTGACCTCATTAGGTCAGCCTTTTCATCAGGTATATTCCTTATTTACTAGAACCATGAAATATGGAAGTTCGGTTTATGCAGTTTCCCTTTATGTTAGGCTTTAATTACTTGCTTTACACCTGCTCAAATAACTGGTAGTTGTTGAACCACTTTCTTTTCTTCGTGTGAATAGAATCTGTTGGCAACTTGTTATATTGATTTCTTTGTTGTTAATACTTAATATCAAGTTGAATGGGTCACATAAATTTATTATCTTCTTTCAAGAACAATATTTGATGACTTGTAAATTTGTTTGATTACATTAGTGCTTGTATGTGCCATTCGCTTTCAATCACATCATCATCATCTTTGCCTTTGTCCCATATGAATGGGGTCGGCCATCGTCATTCACTTTCAATCATCATATAAAATTACCTTTTATTAATAGCATGCAGTATGCCATTTTTATATGAGGAATTATGTTTAGTTAAACCTCATAACTGGACAATTTTTTGAATAGCTCTTCTGTGTAAACTTGAATGATTTATTGTTGACCCTATAGAGGGTATTGGCATGAAGCCCCCTTTCTAAATGGGGTTTTCAGGCCCTTTTGAACATGTAGTTTTGGTGACATTCTGAGGATTCAAGAGTGCGATTGTGATGCATTTTCTGCTTTGGGAAGCCTGCAGAACTCAAGGTGGATTTTTCTAGGGTTATCTGCTGATTGCTTGATCCTAAGCCGATTCTACACTTTTCTTAGACCCTTCATCGAGTGAATGATTGTGGCAATATATGATTGTTGGAAATATGATGTCCTCTACACGATTTAGATCATAGTATTGGGTTACGTAAGTGTTTCAGTTGCTTTTTAATGTGTATTAAGAGTATTGGAAACATAAAAGGAACGAAGAACCGTGAAAAATTTTAATTATGAAGAAACCACTAAAAAACAATGATATATGTTTTGAACCCAATCTGTCAAATTTTTTTGTTTTAAATTTTTATTTTTGTTTATTTATTTTTTTCTTTGTTATGCCACCTAGATATTCTTCACAATATGTTTTTTCCTTTTCGCATTTTGTATAGTTGTATTCGGGCACGCTCTCAGGTGTAAACTGGCCGAATTGGCCAGTTCATGGGGGTGTTCAGCGGTATTGGACCCTTGAAAAAGGTTATGAACCGGCCGATATGTCGTGTATCGGCCGGTACGGCAACCGTGATATATATATATATATATATATATATATATATATAAACTAAAAATGCAACTGCTAGTCAAACAGTAAAACAATAAAGAAAGAATAGTCAAATATTTGGACATGTTTGTTCAGTTTTCTTGTAATAGTTTTTATTTATTGTTACTTTTTCAAAGAACTAAAAAGCGGTTCCAAAATTTTTTATTTGTCAGCTTTCTAAAATTGAGTAAAAAATTAACTGTCTTCTGCAGTTCTTTGAAAACTGTTTCCAAAACCGAATTAAACAAGCTATTTATATCTCATTGATTTATGTTTTCTCACTTCACCATAAAAAAGAATGGTGTGCAATTTCTTGATTATACTATAATTTTATATATTTGTAAATATTCATGTTGTATTAAGTAAAAGGACAATAGCATGAAAATAGTCATAAACTCAGTTGATAGATTATAGACCTTGTTGTTATAGTGTCCAAATAAGTAGATCTAACCTCCAATATGAGTTTGGAAGGCTTGGAAGAGAGTAGAGGTGGAACGGTACAAGTTGAACAATGGGGAATAAATTCTCTCTTTTTTTCCCTTAATATTGTTGTGCTTCGTGGTTCTACAATGGATATCTGATAATGGTTTAATAAGCTCCAGGACCATCAATTGATGTTTTATTATATGCTATATGGTACATATCATTTTTATGGCCATCATTGCATTTGTGAGGAGTGTAGGAGGTGTTGTTTCTCATCTTGCTAGGGAATAATTTCGTTTGAGAATCTTGTATGCTTTGTGGTGTGGTGGTAGTTCCTGTCGCTGTTTGGAGTGACTGCAAAAGGAAGCACTGATGTCCACAGTTGGTAATTTGTGTGGATGCAGATTGTTGTATTCAACTTTTTAGGAGTAGTCATAATTATTATATGGTTCTAGAGCTGGTTGATGTGGTGGCATTGGTGGAAGCGGTTCAAGTTATTGGGCTTTGAATGTTGTTTGGTACTGTAATGGGGTTTTCTTCACACTTTAGTATTGTGTTGTTTGATTTGTTTATAGAGGGAACTGGAGTCAGGAGAGGGTGTAAAAGCTTATTTTGTTGCACATGCAGCTTTAGTTGACAAGATCCCTGAAATCTTGCAACTCATTATCAGATTATTATTATCATATTATCTGTGTTTTGAGAGGCTGCTAGGTAGGTTCTGCCAGTCGTATTTGATTCCTACTCTTTTTTCTGGGGTGTTATGGTCTAATTTTGCCTCTTGTTGCATTTTTGCTCAATGTTCATTTCCATCAACTCCGTTCAATGGTCCTTAGATTCTTTTGCCCTTCTAGAAGAGAGAACAATTCTTTCCCATGGTGCTTATTTTCTGTTTTTCTTTATTCCCTTCCTACTTTTGTTTCTGTTTTTGTTGCTGTGACCATCAAAAGAGAAACAAAAGAACAAATCCATTAATTTTTGGCAATATCAGCTCATGGGTCTTGTTGAAGACTCATAGCACAAGACTCCTACGTTACATGGATCAAAGACAAGATGAAAGGAAAAAGTCAAAAGATATCGAAAACCTGATGAGAAGTGAACTAATTTTCTGTCAACTGTTTTCCAATAGTGAATTAAATTATTAGAAACTTTACTTTGGGCCATTGCTCAATCATAATGATTTCTGCAGTATATAAGCAAATTGTTCTATCTGATGTTCTGAGTTTTTAGCTGGTGGGCGGTTTTCTTCTTCTTTAATTTATATTTCCTTCTATGTTTTCTATTTTTCTTCGTGATTGGGTTGGTTTATTTTATTGGTTCCTTGTAACCCTGGGACATGATGTTTCTCAAGCAGCTGATTGTGTATATGTGCCTGACAATCGTTGGATAATCTCAGCTGCAATCCAGCTATTTTATTTGTTCCTTGTAACCCTTAATGTTCAATGGTCTGTTCTTGTTTCTTTGGTCTCTTATTGAAAGAAGAGAGTTGTTCATTGAAAGAATTTCTACTGTTTCATACTATTGCATTTTTTCAAATGAACTTTGCAATTTTTGTAGTAGTATTTATTGTTCTGATAATGACAAGTTCTTTACTTGTTTTATGTTGAGTAGGGGGTTTACATGTTTTGGATGTACATGCAAATGAATTTACGTATGAAGAATCTATATCGACCGGAGAAATTAGTAAAAAGGTCGAGTCCCCCATTGACAAGGTTCAAGCTTTTAGTGATATCCTACAAAAATGTGGCAATGACAGAAAGAACCTAACAGTTTACATCGGAGACTCTGTGGGTGACTTACTTTGTCTACTCGAGGCAGATGTAGGCATTGTGCTTGGGTCAAGTTCAAGCCTAAGAAGACTGGGGAGTCATTTTGGTGTTTCTTTTGTTCCGTTGTTCCCTGGTGTGGTTCAGAAGCAGAAAGAACATACTGAAGGAAGTTTTAGTTGGAAGGGCCTATCAGGCGTTCTTTACACGGTTTCTAGTTGGGCTGAAATACATGCTTTCATTTTGGGATCATAATGTCAACTTTTTGTGCCCCCACGAAGCCAGTCATATATCTGTTAGGAAAAATTAAGGAATCGTCTTATATAAAAGAACACAAAGATATGAGTTGGTGGCTAATTTTATTATGGGCCACGGGTCAGCTCTTCTTCCCTCTTCTTGTTTTTCTGCAGGGTCTTTCATTCAGAGATGTAAATGTGCCCTTCTTTTGGCCGCATATGCCAAGTAGGGTACTTACAGTTTCCCGTTGTTTCTTCATTTTCTCACCAGCCGTTTTGTTTCCTATTTGTTGACGATACTGTACTAAAATTTCGAAATGTACTTTGTGCAGGTATTGAGAGGTTTCGTGCCAAAAAGCAGTCTGAAGACGGCGTCCTATCATTTTCAATTTTCAAATGACGTTATATACTTTTGCTCTTACAGGTTTCTGCCATTTGATACTGGAATGACAATTTATATAATACAATATTGTATGGATTTTCATCTCCAATGATATTGAAAGAGATAAGTTCCTTTCTTGATCCTGCAGCTCCGTTTGTGAAGTATTAAGAATTGTGTTATGGTTTTATTCAGTGATGACAATTATATAATTCAATAATTTCTCCTTTGTTTTGATGGTTTTCTGGAGAAGTTAATTTAATTATTATTTAGCGTTGTTGGGTTTAGCTAAATTTTCTTAGAAATGTCGATCCAATATTTTTATCATTTAAAGTTTGAACGGAGTCTGAATTAAGCCTGCAGGCTGCCTGATGAAGTCAATCATCATCCCGAAACATACTATCATCTTTAGAGAATTGAGTGGTGTATGCATGGGAAAGATTGATATGATTTTAACAGTGGGTCAGTATCAGCCTCTTACTTTTTAAAGGAGGTCAGGAGTTTAAGTCTCAGAAGAGATAAGTGTGTGTGAGTACCAATTATGAAAAAAAAGATAGATGTGATTTTAGTTTTAGTTATGCACAATAATTGCATTTCAGCTTCTGGATAGATGTGAGGATTCATTCCCCTTCGGCTGTGTCAACCTCTTGCATAGTTTTTGATATGGAAAAATGTCTTCTGATTTTAATTGCCGACTCATCGAATATAACGTGGTTGGATTACATTAGAATTCTTAAAACAAAATTCTGTAAACATCTCTTTCTTTTCGACTCATTCCCAATCACGTTGTATTCGGTGAATGAGTCGCCAATTAAGGTCAGAAGACCTATCACTTCTCTTTTGATAGGGTGTCTTTTTGAGGTTTTATTTCAAACTATGGGGTTGTTACACATAATGTCCCCATATATGTGTGTGTATATATTTGGGTAATGAAGAATCAATCACTTTGGAATCTCAGATGCTTTATATATATATATATAAAGCCTTGTAGTTATTGCAAATTTTCTTGCAATGTGTCCTAAGTTGGTTATGTCCAGCATTTATCATATGTTATAATATGCTTAGATAGACTTGACATTTACTTTTTATTTCCTAGTTTCTTTTTGCTAGTTAACTAATGTACCTTGTTAAAAAAAAATAAAAATAAATAGTTTACGGGCTGTTTTAGATTAAATAAATTGTTAATTAGTATTAATTTGATTGTTTTAGATTAAATAAATTGTTAATTAGTATTAATTTGATTTTCTATTGCACGTAGTAACTGATTTTACGGATTTTATTGAAAAGGAGGAAAGAAGGGTCTCATAAGAGACAAGTGTGTGTGAGTATTAATTAAAAAATATATATATATATAATTAAAATTCAAGAAAGAAAATGAAAAGGAGAAGGTTAGAGAGATTGGAGAAGGATACAGCTTTTTATATTAGAGTCATCAAGATAATTTAAAAAATAAAGCAGGCTTAGTGGTAGATAATTAAAAAATTGTATTAGATGTCTAGAGTTAAATATAGGAGGAGCAAAACATGAGTGAAACTCACAGATCGCAGAGGACATGGTGGACGAATGAAAAAGGGAAAACACTTTTAGAATGGCACAAAAATATATTATTTTTATTATATTCTATTAATTTTTTATTTTATTATTATTATATATATTCCATAAGTTATACATATATATAACATTTTTTTTCAATAAATAGGCAAGAAAAATGATAAATAATTTGTGCCAAAAATATTATTAAAACTCAACTCGATTTGATTTGACGTAAAAACATCATAACTAGTTCAATTCATTTCCCTTCTTAATCATGGCAATGTAAGTAAGAACTTCATGATTTAGTATGATTAATATGGAGAAGATTAAAGGTTAAATATTTTTTTAAATATTAAAATAAAGGTTAAAGTTAAATAGTTTGACCATTGTCCAAAATGGTAAATTGGTTGGATTTTGAGGTCTTTGATGGAGATGGTCTCTATCCTTTGGATATATATCTTTGGGCTGTCCACTTCAGTAGCCGCCATGTCCACTGCTAGAGGAACTTGACAGTATCACCATGTCATTAACACTAAAGGTCACAATCATCAAAATTATTTTCAAGGACGTGGATGGTCTCATTAGTAAAATTTTGTATTTTCAAGTATTATATGTATATAAACATATATATTTGATTAGGTAAGTACTCTAGTACATTTTTACACTTCCACAAAAATTTATTTTGGGGACTGCAATCCTTATCTCTTCTTTGGGGAAGAGAGGTTAAATCACCTGGACCTATAACGTAATTAGAAAAAATTAATTTAAAATTTAAATTGAATTTGATCATTTCAAAGTACCGAATTAGAGGTAGAGCTAGCAAGTTGTGTTGGGTTTTGAGTTGTTAATTAAGTTTGTTCTCATCCCACTTCACATGTTCCTCTTTTTTATTCTTTCTTTTTATGGAATTTTAGGACTTTGTTTGGTACGTCTCAAAATTTCAGTCCTCATACGTCTCAATTTTTTTTTATATATGCAATGCACTACTACACATTTGTCAAATTTAAATGTATAAATTGAGGTCTAAAGCAAAAAAGTTAAGACTTTATATATATATATCTATATATATAAATATATTAAAATTCTTATTTAGAGGATCGCTTCCTTGATTTTATATTCGGTGTGTGCCTGATGCATCGTGCATCAGGCTAATCTAAATTGTGCTGACACATATACATCACTCAAATTAGCCTGGTGTGTGATACACAATGGGTATTGACTATTTTTTTCCTTAATGGCCTTAAGATGAAGTTGACTATAATTATGCACAGGTACTAAAATTAATAATAATAAATATCTAATATAATAATATATATACATATATAAAGGTCACCTCACTATATAACCCCTGGATGACAGATTCGATTTGATTTTAAGCCATAGATTACTTGGAACTACAAGTGAGAAGCAAATGCACAAACACCACTTGCATATAATACGAAATATGATGACAATCTTGATCTTGTTCAAAAATTAAACAAATAATTAGTGGGCATTGTTGGTGATCTTGGACTAAGAAGAATACATGTACATTAATTAACACTATGTGCAAATTAAACATTCTCTCACACTCACATATATTCTATATTATTCATTGTGTTTCACATCGTATCGATTAATTAACTGGACGAACTAAGCAAAAGTCATGGCTTTGCTTATGTAAAGCCTGTCTAGAGGACAAATATGTATGCACCACATATGTATCACCATCATCATTCCTTGGACTATATGGACATAAATTCTTTTTTTTTTTTCTTTTTTATTATTATTTTTTTTTCTATTTAGTTATTTTCTATCATACATAATAAATCCTATAGTATTTCATTTTTGTAAAATGATAAGGCAATCCATTTTAATGTGAAATGACTGTATTATTTTTAATTCAATTAACCAGAATCAAGCATAAGGAGTGACGATATTATCCTTCTTAATTAAATTAAGGGTTACTTTCATTGACACTTCTTGATATTTTGATCAATTCCACTCAGATGCAAGTTAACTTTTTTTTTTTTTGACAATGACATCCTATGGGGTTTTAAAACCTTGCGTCCACACCCTTTTCATGCCTATAAAAAGACCTAAATGCCCTTTGCCTAGTCAATAATTACTTTTGATAATGAAATGACCTAAATGCCCTTTTCTAACTAATTTTAATGGACCAAATTGACCCATTATTTACCACTTCATGCCATCATCCATCATCAGTATAACCTTGCCTTCCACCGCCACAAGTCTTAACTTCGAGTCTCACTGGATTTGGACTCGAGTGAGTGGCGACTGATAGAGGAGAGAGATGAGCAAGTTACCCAACAATCGGTGGGGTTTGAGAGCAACGACGTGTGGGGTTGATGTTGCAATGGTAATTAGAAAGAAAAAAGGGTGGCAGGTGGTAGAGGTGGCGATGGTAGTTGGTGGGGGCGATGGTGGTTGGTGTTGTGGGGTTGATATCGCGGTGGTGATTGGAGAGAGAAAGGGGTTGTTGGTGGTTAGTAGGGGTGATGGTGGTGGTTGTGGGGTTAATATTGCGGTTGTGCTGGTTGTGGGTTTGATTTCGCAGTGGTGATTGGATGGAGAAAGGGGCGGTTGGTGGTGGAAGTGGCGAAGGTGGGGGCAATGGTGGTTAGTGGTGGCAACGCTGAGCTCTCTTTCTCCTTCAGGCGCTTATGAGCTTAATCTATGTTATCGACCGATGAAGGTGACGACATTGGGTTTAATTTGGTTCTCAAAGCGATGGTCTTCAATTTATTCATATATATATATATATATATATATATATATATATATATATATATTTGTTGTGGTGGTGTTTTAAGTAGGGATGACAAATTACGACACGACTTCGAACACGACACACGATAAGTGGGTTTGAGTTGATCTCAAACGAGGTTCGGGTCATAAATGGGTTGACACGATTAATCCATTTAATTAACCGTGTCGGGTTAGGGTTGAGGGGTTCAACACGTGTAATCCGTTTATGACCCGTTTAACTTAACATGTTATAATCATGAATATGACCTATTTAATATATTAATTGTTTAAACCCAATTATTATAGATAGTTAAGTCATTTTAACATAAACCTTATCTACGCTATGATTTTTCTTCTTATTTTGAATATTTGAGTTAATTGTGACAATTATTATTATTATTTATTATTTGATTAAATAGTAAATGTCTCATTTTGATAAATAGGTCATTAAACGGGTTAACAAGTTTATCCGTTTAATAAATAGGTTTGGTTAGTGTGTTGAGAGTTCTTGACACGATTATTAAATGGGTCGGGTTTTGGTTTACCTATTTACTATAATACCCTTACATTGACATGATACAATTGTGACCCACGAACACGAATTGCCACCTTTAGTTTTAAGTTCTCAACGGCTAATTCTTTTACTTTTTTTTCTTTTTCTAGTGGTTGTGGACCTGTGGTGGTGTCTTGGTTGGCTATGGTTGTGGGGTTTGGGATTGAATAATAGAAAAAGAGAGGGAACAATTGAGCAAATGAATTCCAATAGTGCAAGTGCAGTGGGGTTTACAGTTGGATTACACAAATTTGGGGTACATATACATACATATATATATATATATGTATGTACGAGGTTTCAAATTAG